ATGACAGCGCTGTAGAGAAAACGCACGTGGCCTCCAGCGATTGGCTGGCTCTTGTTTTTGGGAGTGTAGGCACTCCAAACAGGGTCCAGTCGTGCCAGCTTCCTGCACCCTCCCTAAACTTCGGTGTTATTGGATCTGCCTTGACACGGGGTCCAGGTGGGGGGGGGGGTGGGGGCGGGGAAAGAGAGAATGCGGTAGATGCAGTGCAAGCCAGCAGTCCGTACAAACTAGACCACGCGTAAGTCACTGCGACGGCCCTTACCTCGCTGTGGAGCACACGGTAGAGATCGTCGGGAAAGACGGCCGAACTGTCGTCGTGTGTGTGTGTGTGTGTGTGTGTGTGTGTGGGGTGTAGGGGTGTCAGCGGTGGGTCCACGTGATGGTCGTAGTGGTCGCTCACTTGCTTGCAGGTGAGACTACGCCTAGCGTCCATTTGCTGGCACCTAACTCTCACCTGTGGCTCCACGTAGCTGGGCTCTGCTCAGCGGCCACACCCCGGGCAACCGTCTCGACCGGCGGGCCAAACCAGGTGAGGGTATCCGTGCGTGCACCTGCACGCGCGGTACTGTGGTCTGCGCTGGCCGGATGGATCTTCGCGTCGACATCGTCGAGACGAGGCTCTGCCTGGACCATCGCAGGAGGCCACCAGGTAAGTTCCCCCTCAGGTAAGTGCGTTTGCTTTGTTTCCTCCTTTTGTTTGTTGAAGTTCCGCGTCGTACGCTGCGCTTGCTGCCTGCCCTTTATATGCTAGTCTGTCTGTTAATAGCTAAACGACACCCTCGATGCCTGCTGCGATTGTCTGTCCGTCAGTCTATGCCACTGTCTTCTAGCTAGGTGTTACGGTGCTTGACTTTGTGTGGTGCACTCACTTTGTCTCTGACTGATGACTGTGTCCGCTTGTCCACTCTAGTTCTAAGTCCCCTAGCGTTAGTTAGTGTGTATGCTCTCTCCTACTCACTCCATCACATCATCACCTCACCACCAAGGTCCCAGGCTAATTCGGGTCGTTCTCTCACTAACAAAAAGTCGTGGCCCATAGTGGAGTCCGGCAGCCGTCTGGGATAACCGGGCAGCCCTGTTCAGGGATGCGTTGCCTGCCCCCCGCGAGGGGGAGGGGGCTAGAAAAGGTGCCCTAAAGATCGCTGGGAACCACGCTGTCTGTAGGCTGGCCGTGGCCGCAGACAAAAAACACACGGTCGAAACAGCCAAAACCGAAACAACAACAACAACAATCGCTCT